TTAAGGTAGAACTTGTGTAAAAGAAGGTATATTATCCCTTAGGTTATAACGTATGAGTAGTGTGATGGGTTTTTTTTTAATCCAAAATAATGGATTCCATTTATATAGTTCTAAGAATAATGGAGGTGTTGCGATGTTGGAACTACATTTATATGATATTCATTACTTTCGCTTAAATTATTTCCTTGCTAAAACTCGCCTCAAACAAGTGAATGCCTAGGCTATAGACATTTGCCGATCATAGATCCCTCCCGTTGAGCTCCTCTGGACAAGCATACTAATTCTTTTCCAGTTCAACAACTACAGAATACGACTCTGGCCCTGGCTTATGTTTTCTATTATTTTGAGCACCATGTCTACGATTAAAATGCATGCCATGCAATCCTTGACTTATGGAATTAAGCTTATCCAAAAATTTGTTGTTTGTGGCTTGATGTGTACTTGAATGTAGTTTTTCTCCTATTGGGTTCATGATGTCTCCAACCTTTTGTTGCTTCACATCTAATTGACGGTTGATACTACTTCCCTGTTCAAACCCCCACTTCTGACCGTTAGTTTGGTCTGTAATAGTTATTACTTCGTGTTCAGTTGAAGAATCAAAGTAAATGATCTCATTTGAAGGCAACAAAACAAAACTTGAAAGCCGTAAACCTTGCAAGGCATTTCCTTGAGAGTGTGCCATATCAACAGTCTGAACAACCTGCCTATATATCTGCAGCCTCTCAGCTTTATTCACCTCAACAGAACTGTTCTTTAGCCACTTCCTCAAGCTCATCTTTTGGGTATACGGTTCTGGAATTCTTTTGTTTGAAGTTTCTTGAGGAAAATCAACATTTTGTTCACTTAAATCTAACGATATATCAGTAGTCATTCTGCTGATGACATCCTTTTTGTCAGTATTATGAGTCATTTCTACAGCATTGAACTCATTAGCGATGACTGATATGTATGCACCTGTCTTTAGACATGCTTCATTTTTTTTACAATTTTAGAAGGGTAATGTAAAAATGTGGTCATGGAAATGACTCAGAATACTTCAAAATGTGGTCTTGAAAATTTTGATTGTAAGGCGTTTGTGTTATATCCTCAATGAGACTTTAGAGATACGGTAGAAGGAAATGGGATCTGGAAATGGGTTTTATTCGGCAGGGGAGTTTTACTTGGAAGCCAACAATTGCATAGATGATTGCATAATGGTAGCAAAATYTATCTTGATTATCTCTTTTTGAATTTGCATGTATTAACTGGTTAATTCTGATTGGTTTTGATTATTGTTACATGAGATGCTATAAGAAGGAAGATAAATAATCGTGTTAGGCTTTTAGTGTTACTGTGAGGTTGATCCATTGTTGATATCCTAGAAGCTGCATTTTTTAACTACAAAATCT